CAATCTACAAACTATGAATATAAATTTTTAATAAATATATTATTAATTCTGATATAAAAAATGTATTTAATACTGTATTTTATATATAATTTTTTAAAATTTACAAGAATCAAGAACTGCCAATATTAATTGTAATGAATGTATTTCTTAGAAAAATAGTTTTCAAATATAAGAAGATTATTTTAAAAACGATGAAGGATATATAAAGTAAAATTAATGTGAATTAAAGTCAAAACTTTTACATACTTCTTGTCGAGAATGGCTGCATTCTTTCAGTTCTTCCCACATATGTAATATTTCTGCATTTTTAGCTTTAATTTTTTCTATCTCTGGGTGATTTTCATTTATAAGAGATAAAGCAGTTGTTTTTACAGATGTAACTCTATCTTCATTTGAATCTAAACTTGTTAAAAATGCTTCAAATTTTTGAATCAATATCTGAAATTAAATACAATAAATTTTTATAATTTTTGCAACAGAATATTTCTCTGTAATATTATACATGCCTTAATGATTATTGTAATGAAATTAATATTAGAATTTTTTAATCTTACTTCGACATGCTCGACATCCTTTCCGTAGTCTTCCGAGCTGGCAATCGACATCTGTTCTTGTATCCAAGTAGCTACTTCATCTGCATCTCTTATAAATATAAAAAACTGTTTACTTTCTTGTAATCTTTTGTTTCTTTCTTCTGAAAGTGTTTTCATTGTTTGGTAACAAGCTTCTATTTCTGCCTATAATGTAAGAATCCTTTTTTATAGTTTTTGAAAATCAAACATATAAAAATGTTGGTTCGCATCAATGTTTACCTGCTTTTCTTTTATATTTTCGCTATCAAAATGGCCTCGTTCAATTAAACCTTGACTTAATTTTCCTAATCTTATAATATTGTTATTGAAATTTTCAATATCTCTTTCTAAAACATCCAATTTTTTCAATAAAGACTGAAAAATTAGAAAAGTATTTTAATGTTATTTTTTAGTTTTTTTATATTAATATAATTTTGAAAATCATATTTATAAACAATACTTGAACAGAAGCTTCATCTTTTCCACAATCAACACTTGTGAGAAATGGTTTTTTCTCTTTCATCCAAGCATCGACTTCACTGACTTCAGAATAAAACTTGAAATAATAAAATGATAATTTTATACATAAACATATATTTATACTACAAGAAACATTAACTAATTATATACCATTTGTGATTCTACAGCATCCAGTAATCTAAGCCTTCGAACACTAGATAAATCTTTCAACTGCTGGAAAGAAGACTGAAATTCTTGTAGTTTAGCTTCTACTTCTGTAGATGCAAAATGTCCATTCCTTATCATCTGACGACCCTTGCTGACTACCGTAGCAATTAATGGCTCGTGAGTATGAATTTCAGCTTCTAATACCTTAAATGAATAAATAATAAAAGGTTGTTATAAATTAAATAAATAACAATTAACATATCAATGTAATTGTACTTACTTGATGTTTTTTCTGCAAATTCTGAACAGATATTAAATTATTTCCAAGATCTGTAGACGATGCTAATGGCTCTTTTTCATTAATCCATGAAAGTTCATCTTCGATATCTCTATAAAACTGTTGCAATAATAAAGCATCTTCTAAATTTTCTCTACGAATCTGACCTGGTTCATGAAGTGTTTGATACCTGATAAGAGGTCAATATAATCTTTATATATTTATCATTCAGTATTATCAAAAGCTAGCTTTTTTAGAAATATATTTAAAATAATTCTTCAATATGCAATAGAAAATATCTGCAGGAGTTTATATCTCTTATTAGAGCTAATTTATTAAAGATGTCTGCAAAATTCTTTATGTAGATTAGATTTTTATTATTATTAATAATCATAATCTAAATACCTTTTTACAATATTTGAAGCTCTTTCTTCAATTTCCTCTTTCATAAAATGATTACTATTGTGAAAACTAGCTGCTAAGTCTTTCACCTGTTCAATACTTTCTGCATGATTATTAATATCCACTTCTAAAAGCTAAAATAAAATTCATATATTTCTAATACATTCAAAATATGTGAAATCTTCAGAGTTTTTTAAAAAATTATTTATCCTAACTTGATGTTTCTTTAATAAATTCTGCACAGAAGTCAGATTCTTCCCGTGATCTTCGGACTGCAATTGAGTTTCGACTTCGTCCATCCAGGCATCTATATCTTCTAACATCCGACTAAATTGAAGAGCCTTTTAAATAAATAAATTTATTTATTTGATATTTTGGGAAAACATAAAACTGAATCTATTATATAATTAAAATAATTTAGAAAAACAAATTTAGATAAAAGATAACTTGGTTTATTTACTGATAAATAAAATCTGCAACAAGACAAGAATATGAAATTATACTTTCAATATATTTCTAATCTACAGCATGGTAGGCAACAGGGAACCACCATGCATTTGTATCTCCCCAAGATTTGATTGACAGATGATTTCAAAAGAACTGTCCATCATCTGCAACCCTCTGTAAAGAGGATGCCATGGAATAGAATAGAATATTCCTTATAAAAAGAATATTTTAAAGTTTTAATAAATTCATTTTTTTTCAAATTTATCAAGGTGTGGTGACTTAAAAATAATTTCACTACTTTTCAATTTCACATGGAAAACTAATACACTTTGTAATGTTGCTATTCAATGTACTGTACATATCAATAAAAATCAAATATTTAATTCTTATTATTTTTTAAAAACTAGATAAAAAGTTCAGGTAAGGAGGAAAAAATCTTATTTCAATGTAGTTGTATTGATTTAATATTTATTATATCTGAATCTTTTTGATGAGTTAAACTCAGCATTGTCAAAGTAGTAGACCTAAAATCAACTTTTTGCTTAAGTCAGTATTACTGAACAAACCAGTTCTCAAAGCCAACCACTGCCATATGTTATCAGGCAAATTAATAGCTATTATATTAATACAGCATTTAATTAGCTCGATAGCACATGGAAGTGGTTGGCTTTGGTAATACAATGTATCTGGTTTTAGTAGAAATGTTCTGTCAGATCCATGTAATCTTTGAATCTTGTTTTATATGGCAATTTGAAGTAACTTGGCCTAAATGTGTTTCTAAAGACAATGTAATTTCTCATACTGATGACATGAAGACTTACCAAAACATTGCATTTAAGAACTCAGCAATTATGTTTAAATGTTAGAATGAAATTGTAAATAAAATTACACTTCTTAATATAATAGATGTCTTCTGTAACATAAAAATCAAAAGAAAAAATAATAAACAATACTTTTTATGCAATAAAGTATCTACAGTAAATTTAAATTGGTAATAAATAAAAATTTTAAAAATTTCTTTATAATTTTATTTCAGTACCTGATAGGCATCTTGTAAACGTTCTTTTTTTAGAGCTGCTTGATCCAATAATTGTCTCCACAACAACTCCAATTCTTGAAGCTGAGTTTGAATTTCAACAGATGCAAAATGACCAGTTCCTATCAACTTCTCTCCTTCATTAGAAACTGCATCAATTCTTCCTTTATTGGCTGCTAATTCTGCTTCGAATGCTGCATGCTTTTGTATTTTGCTCAGTAAATTTGTTGAATCACGATATGATTCATCTAAGGCAACCTGCATTTTTTCGTGTATCCATCCAACAACCTAAATTTACACATTATATTGATTTGAATTAATAAAAACTATATTAAAAAAAAAGGTTTTTATTTTAAACATAAATTACTAAATCATACTTCATAGATATTCCTGAGAAATTGTTGTAATTGTTTTGATTCTTTTAGTTTCTTCTGTCGAATCATGGCATTTTCCTTGAGGCGATCTCGGCGTTGACATATTGCCTGGCATCTGGTCTGTATAGAACTACTGTCGTAATGTTTATTTGCGATTAATTCGGTTGCAAATTTTTCAAGTTGATCTATCTTTTCTCTCTGGGCACTCATTGTTTTTTCAAAGTTATCATGTTTACGAATCAGAGCTTCTACACTTGACATTGAATCCTAAAATTTGTTTAAAAAAATAATTAAAGATAAAAATACCAATAGACTTCAAATTAAAATTTATTTTTCAACTTACTCCCAAATCTTCATTATTAAGAAAAGCTTCTTTACTAGCCAACCAGGAATCTGCTTGTTCTGCTTGTTCTTTGAACATCTTAAAAATATATCAAATATCTTAAAATTATCTTTTTATTATTGAAAATGAATTAAGTATAGAAAACAAATTAATGCATACCTGAAATTCGTAGCATTGTGATAATATTTGTCGACGTTCTTCCCAGGCTTGAATTAACATGCGTCGTAGCTCTTCTAAATGTTGAACGTTTATCTTTAATGTCTCAGAAGCACTGTGTTTCTGCTGTATTAAACGATGACCAAAGTCTTTTAAAGAAGAAAAAGCTTCTTGTCTACCATCTATTTCAGCCTAAAAGATAAAATTTAGTATTTGGGTGATTTTTATATCATAAATATTATTGGCTTATTTATTAATAAGAATAAAGTGAAATATGCCCAAAAAGTGTATTTTAATCAAATATAAAAGATATATAGAATAAAATTTTCAATAAGACCATTATAATTTTTTTTCTGGTAAAGGCCAGTTTCCATTTGCACAGAACTGTTACAATAAAAATCCACAAGAATGTATCTGACCATTCAAATTACTTTGTATTGATAGTTTTTTTAATAAATGCTGCTGTTAAATATAACCTGATAAACAATAGGTACTCAACAATACTCTTGTAAATTTATCCCAGACATCTTTTAAACTAAAACTACATCAATAAGAATCAATGGATAGATTTTCCAGAATCTACTGTATAAGCAATTTAGTTTATAGTTATAAACCTCTAAAAAAAAACTGCATTTAGGTGAAGAATTTAACTTATGTATTTTTCAAAGTATTGAAATTCTCTCTATAATTTTTATCTTTACATAAATCCTCAAAAAAAAATTAAAAATGGTATTTATTAATGAAATAATTACAAGAAAGCAAATATACATAAAATTATATAAGAAAAACAGAAATAAATTAAAATTTAATATTCCACACTTAGAGATATATAATTTACTACTAGATAATTTAATTTCATATATGTATATAATTTAGGCTGATGAAATTTCAACAGAAAATGTCAAATTTTGATCAAGAATATGGTCAATTAAAATAAATATCAATTTACTTTTCGCTCTCGATGTAGTTGTAAGAGAGACTGAGCTTCTGCAATGTTGTTTGCGAGGTCGGCAGATGTCATTCGTTCGATCATATCATTCACCCAACATTCCTATTTTAAATAATAAATAACTTTTAATTTAATGACATAAAAATATTTTATTTAACAAAAATAATGAAGCTTTTTTCTTTCTAATTTATGATGATTTATTATAAACAAATTTACTAAGTTAAAAAGATCACAAATTATTTTAATAGTAATGAAAGTAGTAATAAATTTTCTTACTAATTCTTTGGAATCTGAAAGGAATTTATGTAGTGTATACGAACTAGCCAAACGCTGTTTCCTGCAAAAAATACAAATTATAAATGTGTATATAATGTATGCAATATATAATCATGAATTATTTTTTTTAGAAATTCAATAAAAAGATCTTGTTCTTATGAATTTTCTTGTTAATATCAACATTATACCTATTAAGACAAAGATTTGTTAGTTGTCTCCAGTTATCTTGTAGTTCAGACACTTTTACTCGAGTCGAAGCAGCCATATCCGGATACTTTTGCATTAAATGACGGGCTTCTGAATCATGTTCCTGTTAAATAAGAACTCGGTTATATAATTTTGTTAACGGGTAAAAATCATTATATTTAACAAATAAATGAATTAAAGATACAAACCCTTAATTTTGATTCAATTGCAGTCATATCACGTTCAATTGCTTCTTGTTTTCGTTGTAAAGTTTCAACAGCTTGTAAATCTTTACCTTCATCCTCAACAGATAACGAAAGAGACTGAAATTAAAAGTTTTCTATTAATTAATTTCATCAGCATTACAGTAATTATTACAAAATAATGATTCAAAATCCAATTTTTTTTTTATTATATTCTAATTTGGCACACAACATATTGTTTGAATTTTTAATTACAATATACAGGATAGTGCAGAAAAAATAATCTCAGTCTGAGTCTCTGGTGCTTGTGTATTGTTTGGAATGAATGAACTGCATCAGTTGAATGTAACATTGTGTTGAGTGAATGTTGATATCCTGTATTATGCAAATCCACAATACAAGAACTGAGCAACATCAGCTTCATGACTGCTGCCATTGATGCCACTATGTTATAGTGGATGTTCCTAAACACAATTTAATGTGTGACAGGTGACCACTTTAAAATATTCTATGATGAAGATACCAGCAGTTTGCACAATATTATGAGCGAACTGTGATATTACTTTACATTAATAGTACATAAATTTAACTTACTAATACTTTATAGATGATTATTTCTATAATTCAGGCTTAATTTACCATACAAGTGAATGTGTCAAAAACTGTTCCAAAAGTATAATAGATTTATATCATATTTTATATTTATTAAAGAATATTGATGATGATATCAAAAATGTAGTTTAATAATGTAATATACAGTGTAAAAATCTAGATAAGACATCCTTTAAGAAAATTCAACTGTGTCTAACTTAAAAAGATTTTTTAAAATTCTTTTATAGAAAAAATAACACATTTATATTTTACAGGATGTCCAGAAAAGTTATGTCACCTCCTGTTTTTGTAAAGATTTGGAATATATTAATTTATTGCATACACAAAAGAAAATGTCATAAAACAATTGATATCTTCCCCCTGAAAGTAACACCCATAACAAAACAAATAACATAATAAATAACAAATATATGACAGAACATAATTATGAGTTACAGCAGAGTCTGATAAGGTACCAAGCTGACTTAGATATTTTTCATGTGAAGATAAGAGCATTTTGTTTTCTCACACCAGATTATCACTGCATTTTTCAACTCTTCAGTTATCTGGTAGTGCTGCTGACTGACTGACTTCTTGATAAAGCTCCTTAAGGCATTGTAAAGTTGGAACTGGGAAAGAATATTTCATCGGCATCCATCTGTTTGGGAATAGTTTATCTAAGCATCCATGGCTTCATGATGAGAGTATTTTCTCTTCCGAAACTAGATTATCTCATCAAAACGTCTTGGCAAACTTGAAGCAGTAGCAGCTCTGCCTGGAACACATCTTATACTTTACTTATCCAGAACATTAGTATGGGCTTCATCATGATCATTATGAATTTCATACTGATGTTCTTGATAAGTAAAGTATAAGATATATTCTGGCATATTATAAAATAAATTATAAGAAAAGTAACCAAAAAATTACTTTTAGTAGTCATAACATATTCAAAAGAAAATTCATTTTTGATAAATTTACAAGAATGAAATGTATCAAAAATGAATTTTTTTTATAAGATATTATGATTATTAAATTTATTTACCTATCAATACAAGATCCAATACCATATACAGTTTATTTTCAATACATAAATCATTGTGTATATTTAAAGAATATATTGTTTCATTATAAAAGTCAAAATGAATTATAGAAATAGTAATTCTGTAATAACAAAAACATTTCCAAAAATGCTTTTTTATGGAACAAAAATAGAATAAAGGGCATGCAAGTATCATGAAATATTGAATAGAGAAATAGTATATTGTTAAAAAATAACTTGTAAATTTTAAATAACTGTTTTTTTAAAGAAAATATTAAAATGCTTGAGATAAGCAAGAAGTGAGGAAGCTTTTTGTAATCAGAAAGCTACATCCCATTTTAGAGAGGTCTCATAAGGCTGGATGTTGTATAACAAACTGCACAAGTGTATAGTGAATCTATACACTTGTGCAGTACCAAAAAATGTATACTTGTATATAATTTTTAGATGTTTTAATTGAAAAGAAGATGGAACATATGTTTTCATAACTGATAAGTTTAATTTTACTATAATGAATTTCATCATGCTGCTCTAGAAACTATGAAAGTCATAGAATGTTTATCCCACAGATGAGAAACTTATGTTTTACTCTGTACGAAAGCATTTTTAGAAAAACAAATAAACTGAAATAATACTATATACTTAACAACCTTTTCATTGATTCTATCATTAGTATCGTCAACATCACGATTGAATGCATGAACTTCTAAGGCTCCTGCCAAATGCTTACGATATTCTTCGAGTGCCCCTTGTAAACCTCTCCATCTAAAAAGTATATTTTTATCAATATATAAACAAAACAAAACAAAATATATCAAACTGTAATATCTGGAAACTTTTATATTTATTTACTTGTGAAATAAATAGTTAAACAAGTTTATCAATAGAAATAGATATTATATTATATTGTAATTCCTAACTAATAAAGTTATTATGAAATTAATTAGTAGTTTAATTTATTGTTTAGCATATAAAATTTTATATAATAT